AAATTACATATGCAAATATGCCTGATTTAAAAAATGAGTGAGGTAGGAAAAGACAATCCCTGGTTGGGGAAGGATATTACAAGTAACAGGTGAGAAAATATGCTACAGTCAGGAATATTTATGAAACGTAAAAAAGTTATTACACCTCTGTCCAGAGAGGACACCATATAAATAACCCTTCAGGCACAGCTATGAGATATACTTTATTGGCAGTATATTCAGTAATAATTTTCTCACATAGCATACATCACTGATTTTATACACATGCAGTCCAATACACATAACCATCCAGAACTTTCTTTCTTTCACATCTTCTCAGAGATAAACACTTACAGACTACTCGACTTTCTGCAACCAACAATGCATGTCGTGTCGTTGAGTCATTCCTCCATAGATGGACGCTTTTAATGGCGCTCATAGCGAGCAAAGGTGTAATGAACTTTTGCAGACTAAAAACTACCTAGTCTGCTAGATGACATTTTGTCGTTTTGGCATTTTTTAGATTTTTACGTAATACCCCTGCCGGTCGGCTGGAGACAAGAAGACTAAAAGCAACCCCCTGTCTGGCAAGAGATCTGGAGGTTATCACTACTTGGGGACGCAACAATATGGTACAGTGTAGTGCTTCCAAAACAAAGATGAAGTGTACTTATCCCCACAAAGCCTCCATTTTCTGTGCAAGGCCCAGATAAGACCTATCTTCCAGTACTGCTCACATTTTTGGGCTGCTGCCGCTAGCCTGTACGACTACTCCTTTGTCTTAGGGTGTCGAGAATGTGGAACAATCTGCCTGAGCAGCCTTTTCTCAGATCCTTCAAAAATCGGATTAACAAAGTGTCTTTAAGCTCCTTATATCAGACACGGTGCCCAAGTATTTAGGATTCAGTCTTCCCGACTGCTTCGGTATACAATACAAAAAAAAAACAGATCACCAGGTGTTTTGAATTTGGCTCTCACCATTGTTGTTTCTGGTAGAATATTAATCAATGTTCAAACTCTAATCTAAGCTCACTTACTGATATTCTAAACAACGGAATATATCCCTCTGTTTCTGCTACGACTGGCTGATATGATCGGTCCTCAACGGAACTTGAAGCTCTCAAGTCAATTTTGATGTAATTGATTACGGTACATGTATAATAAATCTGGGAAGATACAAAGAAAGCCAGCTGATAAATAACCTGTGCATTATTGGACATTAGGAATACCTGCTTGCTTAATCGATGTGTAAACATTCCAAAACACGTTATCAATTCAACCATGCGTATTTTTCCTATTGTTCAGAGTACTTGAAAGTCTTATCTTGATAGTCGGTAAAAAAGTATTCAGTCAGGAAAGTACTTCATTGGAGATAAGCACAAACTAAGAAATATAATAGATGCTACAGTTGCATGTTTAAACATATTTTAATGATTTTGTCAGGGACACTGTATAAAACAAAGTATAAAAGAAGCTCCCAAAAAGACTAAAAGTATGTTTAAACTGATTTTTGATGTTAAGTATCATTCACTTAACACGTTTATAAATTGTAGTTAAAGTTTTTTATTAAAAAAGGATTATCAAAAGCTTTACATAATGCATTGAGAAATGAATACCTAAACCGGACCGTTAGTAAAAATTTCCAATCATCAATTAGGATTTCATTATTACAAGGGGATACAGAGTATATTCAAGGGTACATTTTGAAATTTGTAGCAACAAAAATCGCACACTGAGAGATTCTGAAAATCCGAAATCCTATAAGTTATAAGTAATTACGAGGGAGGTTGTTGTAATGTCTGAGAAGAAGCAGTTTCCTTTAAGAGCAAAATGGAATCTGTTTTTATTCCTTCCAAAGGAACTACGACGATGAACTTGGCAACATGACTGTGAACGTCCAAATATAACATAGTTAGCCATTTTCTTGGAGAGTTTCTTCAACAATGGTTTAAAACAATATGAACATCATTTTTAAGTTGTGTACCAATCGCAAGCAGCAAAATCATTTCACTGGCGGTATGTTATGTGGATGATCAAATCTCCATCAAAGCACTGAAGTTGCTTTCGCTCAAGGCTTTGACTTAGCTGGTGGCAATAATCAATGCAATGCTCAGAACTCATTACTTTCCTAAGGCGTGGAAGATCGCTGAAGTCATCATGATCCCAAAGAAGGCAGGTTCGATATTGCCCCAGGATTACTGTCCCATTAGCCTGCTGTCAGCTCCTTCTAAGCTCGCTGAAAAGGTGATTTATCATCACCTTGAGAATTTCTCGTCAGATCGCCATGTGATTCCTGACGTACAATTTGGCTTTCGGTCTGAGCATAGTACGGAGCTACAGGCAGTTAGACTGGTGGAGCATGTAAGCAGGGGATTCACCCTGAACAAAAGTACTGGTATCTTGCTTTTAGATGTATCAAAGGCATCTGACAAGGTGTGGCACATGGGCCTCTTGTATAAGCTCATACAAAACGGTTTTCCATTTTGCCTTCTAAATCTGAAATCTTTTCTAGAACGAAGGAAGTTTCGGATCAAAATTAACAACAACACGGCCCGTAAGCGCCAGTGTTACTCAAGGTTCGGTCTTAGGACCAATTTTTTATTCACTTGATATACATGACGTCCCTTGCCCCAGCAACTGTGAAATGTATCTCTATGCTGATGACACTGCACTGCTAGCTCAGTCTTGTTCTGGTAACCTGGTTCACGACAGGCTGCAGAGTGCGGTGGAGGAAGTAGGCAATCTATTGTACTAAAAACGTCGCGGTGCCCCCTCAGAGATATCAGTGAATGGAACTCGTATACCATGGGAACAATCTGTCAGGTACCTTGGACTCATCATTGACAAGGGGTTGACCTGGCAGAAACATACTGATATTTTGAAAACAAAATTCCAAGGCAGCTTTTTCCTTTGTTGTGCAGAAATTCAAAATTAAGTTTGATCAACAAGATTCGGTTATATAAAATGGATATAAGACCAGCAATCACCTACGCATGCGCAGCTTGCCAAGACGCACATGCACAGACTGCAAGTCCTGCAAAACAGAATCCTACGCACAATCACAAACGCCCCTTGGTACGTGTCAAATGAGACCATTCATAGAGATCTTGATATCCCATATCCAAGGGACTATGTAAAACAACAGGCACAGCGGCCTTATAATCAAGCCCAATCGCACAGCAACCCTCTGTTGCGTGATTCAGTAGACAACACAGTCGAGCAAGTTCGCAAACATTCCAGGCCGCGCCTCGAACTGTGATCAAAATTAAATTGTGAATTCAGACCAACCAAAACTATTTCAGTATACAGACCGATCAAAATAATTTTTTGGAGTTACAAAATTATTCGAGTAGTCAAAGCAATAATGCTTAAGCTTTTTAAATGATTTACTTCTTTTCTTTGTTCTATTTCTTCCTTCCGGTCTTTCCTTCTTTCCCTTTTCCCCTTAAAAATGTTTGGTATCTGGATAGCCATACCTGACAGACTAACAGACCGACGAGACTCTTAACTACGAGCATAGGTCCACCGGACCGCTCTGACGAACAACGACGAATAGTAGTTATGTGAATGAATATACGGTATTTGGGATTTCAATTTTTCGGAATTTAAGTAAATTCACAAATAGTATATTTTTCTACTTTCTACTTTTTGCATATCTTCAAAATAAAAAACGTTGCAAACGATGAAAGCAACGGCTGCGACCCACTATAAAATAAATTCTAGCTTCCAAACACAACCGTTACCCTGAGGTGCGCTTTCAGTGTCTCATTCTTGCTTCAAGACCGATGGAAATGAAAACTTGATATTGTTAATAAAGAGCTATTGAACTAATTCACCTAGCGGTATTTATATCACGTTAAAAGTATGTTTTTAATAGTTTGAATGTCCCCCCTTGGCCACACGCTTTACCATGGTACCTATAAAAAATATACTATTTTTCTTAGATAACACTGAAAATCCAAATATCATATATTCACCAATATATAATAACGAATTTGTAGGTACACCAAACGATTAAAAACAATGACATTTGAGTTTTTTTGCTTGGATAATTTCGACCATGGCAGATTCCATCGTAAAAAGGAAATAAATTATTGGTTATAAAAATGTCAACTGATTCATCAGATACGCAGTCAGAAATGAGAAGCATCAAAGTGCTTCGAAATAAATATATTGTTTTTTAATTGGATTATTCTTTGGAGGTCACCACTGATTTTAATGTTAAAGTACAGTGAACTTCAGTATTTTTATTAAACGGTAGCCTGTCAACAGATAGATAGATCGATCCACAGGGTGTCTCAATATAATTGACCGCCCCACTGGCGTATCCAGAAAAAAGTTCTTAGGAGGGGTGGTGCTCTTGCGGGTTGGCCTAGCCTTTGAGTGAGGGGAGTCACTCAGTCACTTTGTATAAGGAAGAACGTATCAGGTCGTGAATATGCCAATGGATTGGCCCCTCTAATTTCTTTGTATGCCTAGAAAATAAATTTATTTAAAAGTTGTATGGTATAATTGAGCTTTTTCATGCAATGTGGGAAAGATTGGGAAATCTCGAAACTGGAGATACTACAGACCAAAATATGTGAATTGACCTAAACATACCTTAGTCCAAAAGTTGATAGTTTGCGAGATACAGGGTGTCAAAGTTACAATTTTATTTTATATTCTTCCTTATTGCTTGAGAAGTATTTCAGATTTTGGCATAAAACTCGGTATAGGAAGATTTTCTAGTATGAGAAACAAGAGTACGTTATTTTTTAAGGACAAACTTTTAGAGGGCGCCATTTAGAGCACCATCTCCGTAAATAACTTATCATAACTTTTTTGTGCTACCCTGAATAGAACAACTGACAGAAAAACCTTATTTTCTCGTATTTCCACAACAAAAAAGGTTTACTGGTTAGTTTCTAAAGCTAGCAGTTTTCGAGATATTTGTTTTTATAGCATTACATCTTGCATTAAATGCATATCAGAATATTCATCAAACGTATTCTCCATTACGTTTAACAACTTATTGTCACTTTAATTGTGAACTAAAATACTTCCGTCTTCTGGGCTATCAAGTAAGCCTTACAAGTGGGTAACTAATTGCCTTTTCAATCGCAAGGCATTCATAGTACTTGATGTGTTCTCCTCTTTATACCAAAATGTCAATGCGTGTGTCCTCACGGATGGCTTTCAACCCCAACATTGTTTCTGTGGTATATTTATGAGTAACTTTATTTATCCTTTGCTTGCCAGAGTCCTTCAACATAGAATTACTTTTAGCAGAAAAATAATAATTTTCCCATATCTCTGCATATCACACTAGCACATGTAAACATACACGATATCACTCACCTTCTGTTATTCGCAAAAAAAACAACACAACTATTATAAAAAAAATCCACTAATTCATATAATTTTCAGGTGACACTTTTGTTATAATACCGCGCGACATATAGTACAGCGTAATTAACATAAATTAATTCATTTCTGATTTCTGAAATGGTACGACTGATACGTAACAGGTAAAGTACCGCGACAGCGCTGATACTACAGAACCATAATATTTATTCCGTGAACGCTATTCAACTCCCCACTTTTTGGCAATGTCATCTTTCTGTCTAGCTCCGTATGCGAGATAACTCCCCATAGCTATAAATCCTTAAGAGGCGCGTTTAAGTGTATACAGGGTGTTACCGCTAACATTACACAACCGCAGCTTCATAAGAAGTCATATTCTGTCTAGGCTCGTATGTGAGACAACTCTCCATCGGTGCTTTCTAACAATGAATCCCTGATAGTTCAAAACGGTAATTTACAGCGGACCAGGGGCCTGATTCTAACTGAATTTTGACCGTTAAAATTAATTTCGACGTCGCCCTACCGTCATACATAAATATGTTCCGCTATGAAAATTTTGATACCTGATTCTAGCGATTTTCTATATTCAAATTATCATGGCTGGATTTGGCAGTTATTGCCAGTACGCTTATGTAGCTGCAATCAGGTTAAAAATGTTTATCCCATTTCTTATATACCCTTGGTATGAATTTTAGCGTGACGCTGTCTACCATGCCATGTTCTCTATTTCTATTTTCAAATTCAGCCACTGCTCCTTATATAGAATCCCCTTTGATGTCCCTATAAACTCTTTTCAGGTCATGGCATATACCTCTCGCAGTGATCAAATCTCACTGACACCACACTCAGCCTCCATGTTGATCGTACTCGTATCTCAATATAGGTACTCAATATAGGGAATTAATTAAATATGTCCCATAAAGGGTGTTAAAGTTTAAGAAAAATATGGTTTTTTAGCTGATTTTTTTGTAATTTGGCGGTGGTGTTTATAACATTAAGGAGCCAATTTAGCGCTAACTAGTTTAAATTTATTAAGTGAAGAGTGAGATCTGAACGAATATTTGTGACAAAAAATATATGCCACCAACTTTTGTGTGAATTTTATTATGTTCTTTGGATTAAGCAAATAGAAATACAACTTTTTTGTCTCCTGATTTTTTTTCGTATCCTGCTTAGTTTTCGAGAAAATATTGCATATCCCTTGGCCACACAAGGAATACGGGACAAGTTTCTATTGGAAATTTCCAAAATAAACTTTTATTCTTTGTGTGGTCCATGGTTACGCATTTAAGTGGAATTATTTACTCGAAAACTAAGCAAGACACGGAAAAAGTTCAAGAGACAAACAAGTTGTATTCCTATTTGCTTAATCTAACGAACAACGCTCGAGACGACACTGGACTTAATAAATTTATTCAACTTAGGGCTAAATTAGCTCCTTAATGTTATAAATACTACCGTCAAATTACAACAAGATTAGGTAAAGGATATTAAAGACATATACGAAAAACCATTTTTTTTCTTTAAATTTTAACACCCTGTATTTTGAGAACGAAGAATTTGCAGACCTATGTTTATATGAACTTTTTGTCTTAAATCACTCAAAGAATACTTAATTAATACACTGTATAGTATCCTACGAGATCCCAGCCCTCAAAACATGCTTGCGAAATGCTGGTTGCAGATTCTTAGGCAAATATAAGCAAAATGACCGTACTGCCATTCCTCCTTAGGTGGCGCTCTCGTCATGCGGGCTATTCGAACAACGTACCCTATTACGAATTTTGCATTTGCAATTGCGGAACTGTCAGATTATTATTTTTGTATGTTTCCTAACTAATTTTGATAGTTTGATCCTCAACCGCACTAGTAAATTGGATATCGCTGCCAATATTAATATGCGAATTCATGATTGTCAGCTACTTAATTTTTTAGTACCAGCTCTTTAGCTTTCACGACTTGAGCTAAAGTTTTGAACTGTTCATACGTGACGCGTTTAAATATCTCTCTTAAGTTATTACGAACCATTACAATACTGTAATTTATTGGGGATTATATTTTATTTGTGTGATTGTGGAAATAATTGCTGCTATTAATTTCGTCGGAAAAATCATGTCATCGTTTTACTGTGTGCTATGTATTTGCTAAGCGCTGCCGTTGTTAAATTAATTTCTAAGATACTTCCGGACTCTTTGACTCTCACCTATGTGGAGAAAAATGTATATACTTATAGCCAATCTAATTTGAGTCAATCCCTGTAAATCAATTAGTGGTTGGAATTCGAAGATCTACCGAGCTCTGCACTTTGATTTACTGGAGCAGGAGCATATCGGTATTGTATGCTGAAACCTTGCTGAGAAATTATAAGATACACTGATGCTCAGATCCGGAGCACCAATAACTGGACAGTACTCTCAGGCTAGGATTGAGGAGATATATGTCGAAAAGTACCCAGCTCAGATATTCCTGCTCATTTCCAGCATCTGCTGCGATTGAAGAGATGTGTCCGTACCAAATCAAGGCCTCTGTGATCAGAACTCTGACAAGTCGAAATAATTAGCTTCCAGGCAAAGCTCGGCTATTAATCGAAACGCATTTGCGACTTTTATATCTAATGACTTTGTAACTGACATTTTTACTATTATCAGTTTTTGAGTTATAGCATCTTGTTAGTATCAATATGAGAAAATGTAACGCAACGCGGTTATCAGTTAATAAATAATTATGTTCAGCACAAACTAGACCCTCTGAGAAAAAAGTCGGTCAAACAGGTTCATACAATTAATCCATAGACATTCTTTCCTTGCCCTACCGGTAGTCTATCTGGCAACGTCGCCTGACCCCGATACCTAACCCGATTAAACGTGGCAGCGCGTCACAGCATAGGAAACACTATGCTGTGAGAATATTTTCAAGTTTTAAGAGCTAATGTACGGAGAAATCTATGATGTGTGAAATATGTCTAATAGATGCGCAGAATTGCCAAGGTCGGGAACGTATGATTATAGTGACATCAAAAAATAATATACGCTCTCCACCCCCCTACAACCCCCATCCCTATTTTTCACCTCAAAAATGTTTTTTCAAAAATGGTCAGGATAGTAGTAACATCGTGTTAAAATGTCATCCAAATCCGTACTTTCCAAGATGTAGACGGGTCAAAGATTAGCCGACAGACAGAAAGACCGACAGACAGCCGGAAATGAGTGACACAGTTTTTCGTGGTGCACATATCATATAACATCCAAAAAACGTAATATCTTATTTTCCAAAATTTTCGCGATTAAAATACTTTCTAGCCGGTAAGCGCGAGAAGTAAAAATTGCGCACTTTGCAGGGAAAAATACTGTACCCTATTTTACTACGATTGTACAGAAAAAAGAATATTTTGTTTCATTTTCCAAAATTTTCGCGATTAAAATACTTTCTAGCCGGTAGGCGCGAGAAGTAAAAATTGCGCACTTTGCAGGGAAAAATACTGTACCCTATTTTACTACGGTTGTACAGAAAAAAGAATATTTTGTTCTCATTGTAATTACCTGAGTTTTGCTGTGTTCTATATCTTTTTTATTATAACGACAGGCTCTCACCACAATTTAAAAAACTTGAAGTTCATACAAGCAGTGGTCTCAAAGAGATTCAGTCAACCGATGAAATAAAATACTTAGGCGTGATTTTGGACAAACACTTAAAATGGGATACCCATACAAATACCTTGTGAAGAGACTGAGATGTATTATTCCAAAATTCAGGTACTTCAGAGATATTCTAGATAAGAAATATCTATATAATCTATATTATGCTCTTGCTTTTTCTCTATTACTTTACGGAATTCTGGCTTGGGGGGGGGGAGGGGTGAGTTATGAATAATAATTACAAAAACGTTGATGTAATCCAAAAATAATTCTAAAATTGATTCTCCATAGGGAGCTTACTTTCTCAAGTGATTTTCTATATGTGGAGGCTCAGCTATTAGATTGCAGACACATTTATTTTATTGTGGTCTAATACATTATTTCAAATATTCGAAATACTTGAATCGTACCATTCATAACTACCCAACAAGATTTAATCAAAATTCAATGTGTATTCCACAAACATCAAAAACCCTTACACAACGATCTCTGTTTTTCTTGGGACCAAAATTCTATAACTTCATACCAGAGTCATTAAAAGTAATTAAATCAAATAAATCATTTAAAAAAGAACTAAAAAAATGGATTTTACAACAACAAAGGTACTTCATCCACGAAATTGTAGATCTGAAAATCATTATCAAAATCAATAATATTTTACGTACACTAACATCCATACTTTTACTTTAGTTATAATTGTCTGGATATTTTTCCTGACATTATCATAATAATTCACCAAATTATACAGTATTAACGTTTTTTCTTTTTTTTCTTCATACACTGACTGTACTATTAGTTTTTGTTTTTAACAAACCCAAACACAAGTGCAACTTTTTTTGGGTGCTTTATGTTTATTGTGCACAATATTTGATATTTACCTGTATTTTGTGACAATAAACATTATTATTATTATTTGTGAAATATGATACTAATTAATGAGTATTCTTTACAATGGCAAATATTGTGTACGGTACATTCCCTTATTAAACATTGAGAAGTTCAGCTGAAGTTGCTAAAAACTGAAATGGCTCCCCCGAGAAGTTAATACACATATTGATCACTTACAATAAATAGTATTAGAAGCAATTAACAATACATTATAATTGGGCAGAAATTACTAGAGGCTGATTAAGCTGACAACTATAGGACACATTTCAGGCGTTCATTTACATTTTTTTTACCTTACTCAAAGCCTTGCAAATGTAATTGAAGATAATTATAGGGATAGTTTTCGTCTATTCACCTTTACGTATCTATCTTTTCCTGGTGACCATGGATTTGTAATATTACCATAATTTAACATATTATACCTCGTTAGAGACGTACATTTATAATTCCTTAATCGGCATTCAGCTATACTGAATATCGCTAGAAACAGTTATTCATATACCAGGTGAAAAGAATATCTGGTTTAAACTGGTAACTTATGAAGAAATTATCAGTTTCTCGCGATTCAGTCTCCTGTGAAGCGAGATTTTGTGACTAGAAGGCAAAAGTGTGCAGGAAAGCTTTGCACTTGGAACCTGCTGAAAATTATGGGGTGCGGGGTTGTGCGGGGATGAGGGAGAATATAACCCAAAGTTTTGATGTTAGTATATTTAT